TTACATATTGTTGCACAATTTAATTTTAAATTAATATGTAGGTGAAGAAACATCACGGAATCAAAGTTTATAGTAATCTTATATGTTTTTTTATAATTTTATATATATAAAAATTTACATGTGACAAATCGTGTGACTGTTATAGTATGTAACTTGAGTTTTTTTCACCATAGCTAGGTACTCTATATAAAAATATGATTAAGAAATTGATCAAGTAATTTATCGGCTATAGCTGGCTGCTAGTCGATAGTTGATGATACATAGCTGACCGATAGCTAACCAAACTCATTTCTAATTTACAGTTAATATGATTAATACTATAATAAATAATAAAATTTTTCGCTTCTAAGTGAAGTTCTTGGGGTTACTGATTATTTTTGCACAATGAATATAAATATTTTTTCGAAGTTAGAAATGGAGTGATTTTTTGTTAGTGTAATGTTACATTCTCAAAAAGTACTTTAAACTGTATAAATAAGTTACCTGAGCAATTGATTTACATCAGCCAATGAGTATTGTATAGAAAATGTCATAGGAGAATTGGTTACACAAGCCTGACACATTTCTATTTTTAAGTATAATAATACGTACGTACGTACATACGTATATACTCATCTCATCTCAAAGTAAACAATAACATTTCAAAAACTACGTGATTATTTTATTATGAGTATATTTATTTTTCGCATCAACAAATCTTTAAAATTCCTTTGGAACTTCAAGATGCAACCTTCTTTGAAACAGCGAACAATTTTTTTAGACTTTCAAAGAATATATAACTAAAAAAACCGGACAGTTTCTTCCTTCACACCATGGAGCTTTTATATATCAATTATGAAAGATAGCAAATCTAGAGAACACCAATATAAATGCTATAAAGAAAAAGCACAAGCTGCCATTAATGTTTTTGAGGTAAGACAATTTCAAAGATGCGTTCTTCAGAAGCTAGGCATTATCTAATCGGAGTAACAAAGTTAAGTTTCCGAAAGAAGCTAGGCTTGCCTAGTTTTTGAAAGAAGCTTTTTTTATGAAAAGAAGTTTTTAAGAGAAGCTATTTTTGTTTCTGAATGGAAGCTCGATTTTGCTTAATCTGTTTAGCAAAGAAGTTCCGAATAGAAGCTAGGTTTATCTAGTGAGAGATGCTTTGTGAAAAGAAGTTTCTGTGAAAAGCTATTGAAAGACTTATTAGAAATTTTTTCTTACTTTAAATTTTTAATTATTAGAATCAGTGAAAAAAAGAAAAAAATCATATAGTAGATTAAGTAGAAGAACATTAGCAGAAGCAATTTCACATGGACAAAGAGAAAAGTATTAACAGCAGCAGTTTTAAGAACAAACTGATCTATTTCTCAGTTGATTTGGCTCAAAAAAGATTTAATTCAGATAGCAAAAGCATTTTTCAAATCCACCACGTTAAGTTGAAGTTTGAATAAAAAAAAAAAAACATAGTAAGTGATGAAAAATGCTTTATCTTAAATTCTTTGAATATATTCATATAAGCTTTTGGTGTCTTAAGCAGGTTTATTGAATAAGCTGGTTGATTAAAAAATTGATTATGATTATTGAAAAACCTGGAGCTACACTATTGATTTTTTTTTTAAAGGTCGCTTCGATTAATTGCAATGATCTAACGCATATTAATCATTAGCAAATTGCATGAGTAAGCCGCTTGAGAACGCCCTTTATCAAAAGTTAACAGAAGCAACCCGTAAATATACTACTTTGGTTTGGTTTGGTTTTTTTTTTTTTTGAAATTAACTTAGGAGAAGTATTGGCTAAAATGGTTTGAAGAACGTTGCTCTGACTATTTTGAATTTTGAATGGATGAAAGAGTCAAAAAAAAAAAAACATTAGTTAATGGTTAATTTGAATTGGAGGACAAAAAGTATTAATATATGTGCTTTGCAAGAAAACCACAAAGTTGAGGGTGCTCTAAAGCGGCTTTTTTAATGTGATTTGTTAGTGATCGAGATGCCCTCAGTCATTATGCTGATTGCGAATAATTGATCATTCTTCTAATGATTTGCTGAAAATCTATTTTGTGATTGTGGGTTTGAATTTTAGCTAATCAAATAGCTCTACGAAAAAAATGGTCTGTATCTTCACATATTATTTGTCGAAATAATACTTGGTTAGTTTATTCAATTTCTGACTAATTAGAACCTTATCTCTATCAGCTATCTATTGAATGAGATGTGCAAGAACGCCGACCCTTCTTTGAATTATTCAATCACATAATAATTCTGGGTCATCATGAGCAAAACTATCTTAATGCGAATCTGATCTAGAGTTTGGACCCGTTAACCGCATATCTGGATATCTGCACGGTTAACCGTATATCCGGATACTATAAATATGTCACGGGTAACAACCCTTATCCGTCAGTTTTTAGAAGGATAACCTAACGGGTATCTGCGGGTATCCGCGGATATCTAGGGTATCCGTGGGTATCAAGTAACCCGTGACATAATAAACGATGCTAATACGTGTAAAACTAAATACAGCATAGCTATATTGAAATAGACACTATAATTTAAATTTCATAAGGTTTTTAGATATACAGTTGCCTCCAAAAGTTCGTCACGGTTACACGAAAAACAATACAAATTTATGCCAATCATTATTTGATATATAGTATATACAAGTAACTCTCGATGTGGGAAACCTTTCGATGCTGACATAAGATTTTACTAGTCTCAATTGAAAATTTTATAAAAAGACCTTGACATAAAAAAAATCACAATATAAAAAATACTTTGGCTAGGCCGGTAGCATTTTTATATTAAGAGTCAGCTGTATTCATTATCTGTTATTTTTTATCATTAATTTGTATATTATTTTTTAGTGTAACTGTGACAAACTTTAGAAAACAAAAAATTCACTTTTTCTTGATTTTTACAAATAAAATTAATAACTGCCAAAATCTGTATTTATTTTCTTTATTATGCCTATTAAGTAATTTGTAAATTTCTTTTACCAAATTACAGAGAGAACTATTTGAATTATGAATTAATCTTTTTAAGCATGTATTTATAGATTCAATTCAAGAAGTAGCTATCATTTTATCTATAAAATTGAATGCAGTATAACAATATGCCCAAGATTTGTTTGGGTCTACTATAAGTTTGTTAAATTGCTGTTTATACTTTTCTTCATTAAGACAATCATGACAATTAAAAAATTTTATAAGAAACTTTTAATAATTTTTGTCTAAAGTTTTTTTTAGATTTTTATATAGATTCTGGGCTATATGAAAGACACAATAAATTGGATATGATGAATTAAAAACTTGTCAAATAGCCACATCAATAGCCAGATCTGCATTTATTAGTATTACTTTAGATTAAACCTTGGTTGCTTTAATAATCTTAAAAAATACTCATTTGTAAGATTCATAACTTTTATTAATTAAAAGTGCTTGTACAAGTAAATATTATAACAGTTATTATCAAAACCAACAAATAATGACAACATCATGTCATATTTATTAGCTTTATATATAACATTATTAAGTATATAGTTTGAATACTTAATCCAATATTCAACTTGTATTGGTGTCATCCACAATAGATAAGTTAAACAATTTTCATCATCCCAACCTCTAGCTATAACCCAATATGTATTATCACTTTTTTTTAATCAAGCCAGTTAGAAATTTTCAAAGTATTATTAAATAAAAATTTATTAGTAGGCTTAAATTTTTGGATAACAGTATAGAGATAATTCAAATAAATTGGTTGTGAAAAAAATTTTCTTTCAAGAAACTTTCTTTGTACTGTTGCACTAAATTTATAACACATAGTTATAAATTTCATATCTTCAATTATTTCATCTATAAATTTTTTTTCATTTTTAAATTCAATTGCATCATGATTCAATAGATGATTATATTTGTTAACTATTTTTTATTTTATTAACAATTATGAGTTAAACTAAATAGAACCGGCGGTGATCGTCACCGCTATTAAATATTATGCCCCAGCAGTGATCATCACCGCTATTAAATATTATGCCCCTTGCGGTGATCGTCACCGCTATTAAATATTATGCCCTTGCGGTGATTGTTACTGCTATTATATATTATACTGCATTTAATCGATCATTGTTTTACGTTATTGTTTATATGCGGGGTAGGAATTTAATTGTTTGTAACGAAATATAATATAATCGAAATATACTTGAATAAAAAGTAAAAAAAAACATGATTAGAAAAATAATCTCTCTTTTTCTTTTCGTTCTAGTTGAAAGTTAACCTGTGATTGTTTGAAATTAACAAAGTTCACCTATATAACAAAAGAATAAACTAAACGTGATATAATACAAACCTTTCAATAACCTGAAGTAATGGAAGGTTAATTTGCATATTTAATGTTGATTATATGTTAAAATTTTTGTTAACACATTATGCTTATGAAGACTAAAAAACGTAACTAAATTTATAATAATTAAGGAGACCATCTGGTTACTTTTTTGAAAGGGTTTCAAAACAATACTTCTTTCACAGAGTATAGTGATAGAGATAACTTGGCTGCTATCTGGGCAGGTACGAACAACCAACAAATTTATAGTCATGAAGACCTTTGGATGGGTATAAATGTTGCAAACAACCAACAAACCTACAATCGGGATGACCTTATAAGCATGAATACCATTTATAACAATATAATTGCTAGAACAAATCACTCAAATACCATTTTAGACAACTTTTTAATAATTGAAGGAAACCACATAAATGCTATTCAAGGTGATTTAGATAACCTTACAAATGTTGGCGAAGATTACTTAGCTGCTAATTATAATGATCCTATAGATAGTCTAGCTGCTACTTACGATGATCCTATAGATAGTCTAGCTGCTACTTACGATGATCCTATAAATATTGAACGTCTAACTACTATTTACAATGATTCTATAAATATTTAAAAGGAACGTCTAGCTACTGTTCAAAATGATACTATAGATGTTAAGGAAAATATAGTTCAAAATAATAATATTAACTTTACAAAGGAACTTACTATTAATGTTGGGAATTCTTTTCTTTCATGAGAATTGGCTGAATCGTATCATGAAAAGTATGCAAAATTGATGGGATTTCCTTTATGTCATAAGCATTTTGAAGTTAACAATGTTGGGATTATATGCTATTGAACATTTGAATATGGTTTTGCTGATGAACTAGTATCTAATAAAGTAATTAATTCAAGTTGTCAACGTAATCGGTTATCTAGAAAAATTAAATGCCAATGGCATATAAACCTTAACATGACAAAATTATCACCGGAAATAAGAGTTACTAGTCTTGTTAATCAGCATAATCATGTTTTGTTGCCTGATACGGCTTTATATGATCCCAAGTGTCACAAATTATCAAATGAAATAATAGAAAAAATCAAGTTTTATGTAACTAAAGGAAATATGGGTTCAAAACAGATATATCCTTTATTGGTTGCAAATTTTCCAGAACAGTTTATCTGCAAGAAGGACCTTTATAACACTATTCAAAAATTTAAAGCACTTTATGCCCAATGTCAGGGTGATGTACAGCATATAATTAATAAATTGTTAATGTTGAAAGACCAAGAGCCTGGTTGGATTATTAATACAAGGCTTGACCCATTTGATAACCGACTTGTTAGTTTATTTTAGATGTCACCTATTCAGCGCCAATACGTATGTGATAAGCCATACAGATGCTTAATTAATAGAAGTACCACATATGTACGTATATACATATATTATATAACTGATAATATTCTAGACTTCTAAATATGCTGCAAGAATGAAGCTATGACTCAACTAGGTTAAAATGTAATAATTATACTAAATAATAAATATTATTATTTAATACTGGTACGAAACAGTCCTAATACTATATATATTACCAACCTAAACTAATAGTGAAATATAAGACTCTACATATAAAATATGGATCGATGGTGCTAAATACCAGTATATACATACAATTAATTTCTATACTAACTATGAACTGTATATGTTACGTATAAGCAGGAACTATAGTAAAATTAGATTAGAATTTACTTATATTAAACTACAGTATATAACTACACAAAATCTAACCCTCACTCTACCTCTAGCTTTAATAATTACAAATCAACTTAAAATTTTATTTCTTAGCTAAATTCATACATACCAACACAATATTCACGTGACATTATTGCCTTTAATATAAATTTTATATTTATGTACTATACATACAATTTAATGCTATGTAATATTGTTCTATATATACATATTATAAGCAATACATATTGTATAAAGGCTATTATTGTATATAATGCATAAGCATATTATAAGACAACAAAACAAAATCACTACATACATAATTCAATTTTCACTCTTGAAATTTATATTATGTCCAGATTTGCCACATGCTTTATATATGTATTTACACTTGATTATATTTTCATCTACAATAAATGATTTATCAGAATTAGACACATCATCACCAACCTCATCAGTATCATTAAAATCAGTTTTTTCTTGAATATGAATATCATTGCTATTAAGAGTGTGAAGAGGATTTCTAAATGCATATCGTTGTTGCATTGGTTGTGTACGTACATTTGTATCTTCATAATCAGATACATTTAATAAACCATTATTAGAATTATCTTGGTTAGCCTTTTTCTCTGATACTGATTTTGGTGGACGTCCATGTCGTTTTTAAATAGAAAGATTAGAGACATAAGTATTTATTTGATTTTCATTTTTGTAACTCTAGATATCAAATTGGGATCAGGTGGGTTGATTGCGCTGTTTCCAGAACTACTGTGATATGACTTCTCTGTTGCTGATTTAATACGCTTATTTGGTCGACGTCCATGTCGTTTTTGAACCAAGGGATCTAAGACGCATAAATTTTTCTCATTGCTTGTGCTTTGTATGCTACTTTTTTTACGGGTAATAAAGTTGCTTATAATATCAAGAAATTCGTCTTCACAATTTAAATCTAGAGCTAAATTAAGGGCTTTCTTAACCTTTCTGAAACCTTGGGCATATCTAACTTCTTTTTGCACTTGTTTTTTTATTTCACTTGTAAATGCACATTGTGGTCTGAATTTATTAAATAAATGTAAATCATTCATTATTGTTTTGCTGAAATTGTGTTAATACTTCTATAGTTTCTTGTAATTTTAATTGACCATCTTGATCTTGAATATCTTCTAGATACCATTTTTTCGCAATAAGACCAATATTAAATTTGGCATTCTTTGAAGTCATCATAATCTGAAAAAAATGGGCACATAAGAGTCCATGATTGATTATGGACAAACAAGTACATATATGTCCACTATCATTTAACAAAATAACATAATGCTTATATGACTTCGTAATCCCGAAGAGCTCCCAGACTTCTACAATATCAGATAGCTGTATATCAACTAAAAGAGAACAGAGAGACGTTTGAGGTCTATCAAGTTGATCTTCAAAAAAGCCATCGTCACAATCCAACTAGTTAAGATCTTCTTTCGTAAGACTAGCTGATTCTTTAGAAATTAAGGTTGCACGATATAATAAAGATCCTTCAATTTGTTGTTTTTGAACAGATAAAATATGAGAAGGTTAATTAGCTCAAACACCTAAATATTATATGTAGACATGCAACAAATAATATAACATAAGATCTACGGTACAGTATAATGATTCGGTATTATATAAAAAAAAGTAATAGAAGAGTTATAACCTCATGAAATATTGGTTCAACAACTGAAAGTGCTTAATTGCTCGGGAGACTTTGAAGGTATGCATTATGACGAGCTCACTAAGCTTCATTGTCTAATAACCGTTGAACTTGATTATGCAAATTGCATAATGAAGAAGTGCTATTAGCGCCTTCTTTAATTAGCTTGTTCATTATTTCAACCCTTTGTGTACTTTGAATTCTGGCTATAAAAAATCTGATTTGAAAGCACTTCACCCACTTTCTATAGCAATTGTGTAAGGTATGATTAAGATACTCTTGGGATTGAGGGTATTGTTCAAGTAGACGAGCCCAATAACGTTAAAAGTCATTTTCGTATAATGTGTTAACAAAAATTTTAATATATAATCAACATTAAATATGCAAACTAACCTTCCATTACTTCAGGTTATTGAAAGGTTTGTATTATATCACGTTTAGTTTATTCTTTTGTTATACAGGTGAACTTTGTTAATTTCAAACGATTATGGGTTAACTTTCAACTAGAATAAAAAGAAAAAGAGAGATCATTTTTTTAATCACATTTTTTTTTACCTTTTATTCAGGTATGTTTCGATTATATTATATTTCGTTACAAACAATTAAATTCCTACCCCACATATAAACAATAACGCAAAACAATGATCAATTAAATGCAGTATAATATATAATAGCGGTGACAATCACTGCAAGGGGCATAATATTTAATAGCAGTGACAATCACCGCAAGGGGCATAATATTTAATAGCGGTGTTAATCACCGCCAGGGCATAATATTTAATAGCGGTGATGATCACCGCCGGTTCTATTTAGTTTAACTCTTTATTCAAATACAGTAAATATAATTACATAAACACAATAGTCTCAAATTAAACTTTTTTTTTTTTTTTTTTTTTGGTAACACGTACTGAAGATGGGCCAGGCTTGTCAAGACCCAAAATTGAGCCACCTGACACCTTTTAATCAGACAATAGACCGGCTTTCCCAGCAAGATGCCCAACCCAGTTACCTCACTGATGTTGGCCACAATATTGTCATACGTCGAGGCGCAATGTAGATATCGTATAACCCAGGCCTCAGCTGCCCCTTTTTGCTAGGGTACATGTCCCA